ATTTTTTTTTTACATGATTCCCAATTATTTACATTCATGATTTCTAGTATTTATACAGGCTTTACATTTTTATTTCAGTGTTGTAATTAGCAATTCATTTCATTTGATCTTTGAAGCAGATTTGTTACGTGACAGCGTCAATTAAAGTTTCTTAAGGGTCAAGATCATGTTATCTGCATCTCCTGCGCTCCATCAAGCCACTCCCATAATAGCTGTCACCAACCAATCCGAGATCAAGCGAAATCGTCAACAATCAAATCCAGCTAACTGAGTTAGCGACGTACGAAGAACGGGCCCCTGCTCTACATCCTTTCTGAGTTTGCCATCTTAACAATTTGATATTTCCCATATTTTACTGTCTTAATTTTAGTCTCTGTAGACTAAAACTCAAAAAATCTGTCTTTCACATTTCTTCTGGGTGACTTTATGCCACTCCTGGTGCAGAAAAATTCAATCAGCTTGCTTTATTTGATGGCTGTTTCATCTTCCTCCTGGTCACATTGCAGAGGTTTTCAGTTGGGTTCAGGTCTGGAGAATGTGGTGGCCATAATATTGTCTTGATGTGGTGTTCTACCACCCACACCTTGATTGACCTGGCTGTGTGGCATGGAACATTGTTCTGCTGGACAAACCAATCTTCAGATTTGCAGAAAATTGTCAGAGCAGAAGGAAGCAAGTTTCTTCCAGGATAACCTTGTATTTGGCTTGGATCATGCTGAAGCACCCCAAATCATGACTGATCCTCTACCAAATTTTTAATGGCTACATTGTTATGCCAGCGATAAAGGTAACTCATCTCTCCCTCTCACTGCCTGCTGTGTGGAAGTCTAAGTCTTTCATCCCTTCCAAGCCACCTCTTGATTCACCTCTTCTCTGCTGAGTAAGGCATACTTATGTTCTGGCATTGTGGGATTAGCAATGCACACTTTAGCTGTCTTGCAGGCTTATTGGGGGAGGCACCTGGACAAGGTTTTGGCACTGGATGCTGCGAGACATTTGGAAGTTTAGTTTCTTTCAAGTGGCCACTTGGGCAGCAGCGGTGAGCCAGGTAGAAATTTTCTGAAGAGGAGGCCACGACCCTATTCAGAGGAAGAAAATGGATCAGCCAACCATCTTCATTTCTCCCCTGCTTGCCTTCCAGACAGTTTTGGATTAATTCACCTTTTTTATGTTACAAACACTGATCTCACAGACTCAAGGGTGCCATCTAACTAACGAGCTATAGAGCACTGTTGGAAATCAGACTTTAATTCCTCTCACAGGCCATCTACTGGCTTGGCAGCAGTTAGAGAGAGTGTCAGACTGGATGTTTCGAGCCATGCACTATGATCACATCATTCAGTACATACAAACACAGACGGCATTTCTAGAAATGACTCCTTCATACCCAAGAAGGACGGCAGCATGTGTGTAATTCTGGATTTGAGTATTTACTTTGCAAACTATACCAGTTTTTGTGTCACACATTCACAAAGTATATGGATGTGGTCTTAATGCCCCTGCGACTGTGTGGCATTCACATACAGAGTGATCTCAATGATTGGTTGGTGTTTGCTCAGAGAACCTAGATACACAGCATTGAGATGTATCCTTGATAGTTTGATAGACTAGAGTTGCAAGTGGACCAATACAAGATTTTTTTTTTTTTGAGTTTTTGTTGCTTCGGCAGCACACTTGTTTTTCTAGGTGTGGAGCTGGGTCATGAAGGCACTTATAGTACACAGCATAAATTAGTACACTCCCTCTGAACATAAAGATACTGTTCTATGTTTTTAATAATCAATATTACAATTCACACAAAGATGACAACATTAAAACGTATTAAACACATACTTAAAAAAAGAAGAAAAGAAAACAAAATGTCTGCAGTATCTGTAAAATAAGTAAATTGTGCAATTTTGCTTAAATTAGTACATCTTGCACTAAATTCAACAAATGTGTAATCCTAGTATGTAGTCTGTGCTTCATAACTGTAAATGTACTGCTCTGACCCTTCTTGTGTTGATTATAGAAGTTCACAACAAATTGTCACATCTATCTTGTTTAACTCTGCGAGGTCAACCTCCCTTATTACCTTTATGTTTGATGGGGAGTGATGCACACTGCAGGATTTTCAGTAGGAGAATGCATAGAGTCATTGTCAAGTTAAAAAGTGCACAACAACGCAGGGGTATCATCTTCTGTTTCAAAAGTTTATATTACATGTGTGCATTCATTGATAAAGCACAATTCCCCCAAACCTTCAGCACTCATTCATCCCTATATAAAAAAAATGTACTACCTCCAAACTTCACTGTGGGAACCAGTCACTTCTCACTGTACTGCTCCCCCTGCAAAGCAATACATTTTGGATGCTTTTTGATCCAAAATGGACTTGGTCTCATATGACAATAGGTGTTTTCTGTGTGGACAATAACCAAACATTCGCTGCTGAAGTCTGCATCTTAATGTGACACAAAATGGTCACTCTTCTCATAGCTTTTCCACCACTAAAACACTTGCTTAGCATTTATCCTGCTCTTTTCTTGGCAACAAAAAAATGGATGCCTGATTATTTCAGGCTTTCTGTACTTATTCTACCAAATTCACACATAAAACATCAGTTTAGTAGACTGATTAATATTAAAAAGCTTTTTTAGAAATAAATTAACCAGACTTGTTGAAAGCCTATATCTTCAAGAAACCCTCATATGTTTTCTGAGTAAATTCCTGAATTTGTTAAGTTTCATATGTAGAGAGAGAGAGAGAGAGAGAGAGAGAGATTTGATTTTTAACAACAACTTTTATTCACAAAAACATTGTCAACAAACAAAGATCAAACTCTTAGTAAAGTAAAGAAAATACAATACCACACCACAAAAAAGTAAAAATCAATTCCCCTTCCACCACAGCACAAACAAGGTTATTAAAGCACCATTGAAACTCAAATGTTTCCAAGTCTTTCATTGGTTTATAATAATTAAATTCAACAACAATTCTTGATTTGGCATAGGCTTTAAAAAGAGATATAGTATCCTGACCATTCCGGTTTTCTATTCTATTTTTCCTTGTTATGTAAACAGCCAGTTTATCTTCCCCAATCAGGAAATTAATCAACTGCCATTTCAACCTATTTTTGGGGGGTGTATCCTGCACCAAAAATAAAAGCATTGGGTGTAAATGTTTCACCAAAATCTAAAAACACTTGACTCAGCAAAGCAAAAAGTGGAGTGAGTCTTACACATTCCAAGAAACAGTGAAAAATAGTTTCCCTTAAAACACAAAAAGCACAT